CTCCAAATCCTGGGTTTTGTTTCAATGTCTCTGCTTGCCATTGCAATATAACTGCAGAATTTGATCTTGTGGTTAAAGGTATCAGGTTAATAGTTACTACAGATTGTCATAACCAGGTGTTATGTGGCTAGTGACTTAAAGGGGGTCTAGACATCCCCCAAAGGCTCATGCAGTCATGGGGTGGGCTTTTAGAGTTTATGATTGATTCATGGTCCAATGTTGGGATTATGATACACCCTCCCTGGGGCAGGTAGCTTGCATATAGTAGAAGGGAGGGATAAAGACTTCCTCTCTGCTCTTCATTTTTTGCTCTTAACACTTTTTTTGTTTTCTGCCACCATGAACAGTTGCTCTGTGCCATGTGCCACTCTGCCTTGGAGCCAACTGAGTATGGACTGAAACCTCCACAAACTGTGAACTAAATAAACCTTTCCCTCTTTAATTTGGGTGCCAGGTATTCTGTCTCAGCAATGACAGCAAACTAATCAAGACACCAGGCTATGCTGAGACTACTGTTATTACTAACTGTACTACTTTAGGGAGGGTGTCATACCTGTTATAAGCAGTGTTTCTCCCTTGTATGACAACACTGTGATTTTATGGAGTTATAACCATCACCATAGTCCAGTGCCAAAGGACTTGGTTCTGAGCCAAATAAACAGCAACTTGTCATGCTCAATACATTGGGAAGGCAGATTCAGAGCTCCAGTGGTGCAATTGGTTAGCGCGCAGTACTTATACGGGAAGACAGGTTCTTGAGATAGATAGGAAGACCAAAACCACCTACATCTAGAAGACATTCCTGAGGAACAGACATTTTCTAGGTAAGCCTTGATACTAAGAAAAATCTATCTACCATAAGAAATCTAGAAGCATCAACACAGAAAACAAAATAAAATAAAAAATAGAAAATGACAAGATGTAGAAGCAAAATGCAACCCAATACCAATAGCCAGGCACATTGTCCAGAGCACAGTGAGATAGAGGAAGTCAGAAACCAACCACTGGAACTTTCTGAAATGATAGCAACAGAAGTGAAAAAACAGGCCAGGTGTGGTGGTGCATGCCTGTAATCCTAGCACTCAGGAAGCTGAGGCAGGAGGATTGCTGTGAGTTTGAACTGAACTACACAGTGAGACCCTGTCTCAAGAAAAGTGAAAAAATAAATGGAAGAGGCTACAAAAAAATAATCTCTAAGGTGCACAAAGAAATGCCAATCAAAATAAAAGATATTAAACCAGATACAGATAAGAAAATAAATAGAAGAGCTCAGGAAAATCATGGAAAAAATCAGCGCTCAAAATAGGAAAGAAATGGAATCCATGAAACAGAGCTAAACAGAAATCCAGGATGTTAAAGACTCCATGGAAAGTATATGCAACAGACTGAAAGAAGGCAAGTATAGAATATCAGATGTAGAAGATGGGATTTTGGCTAGTGACCATGAAAAGAAAGATATGTTAAAAGTAGCAAGATACCATGAAACATCAATTCAACAGCTATAAGGTGAGTGAAAGAATAACATAAAATTGATTGAAATCAGTAAGAAAGTTGGAGACTGTGCAAAAGCCATAAAAAAACCTCTTCACAGAAATAATGGCAGAAAACTGCCCAAACATGGATAAAGAATAAATGAAGCATATAGAACTCCAAATAACCATGACCCAAATAAATCTACACCGAGACATATAATAATCAAGATTCCAGAAATTCAGCACCAGAACAGAATATTAGAAGAGCCTAGAGAAAGGACACAGGTCACCTCGAAAGAAGTCCATTCGAATCACAGCAGACTTCTCAACACAAATCCTCAAATCAAGGAGAGTTTTGAGGGAGGTATTTCAAGCCCTAAGAGAAAACATAATCCAATCCAGATTGATGTACCCTGCAAAACGATCTTTCAAAATCAATGGAGAAATAAGATACTTCCATGACAAAGAACAACTGAAGAAATTCATGACCATCAAACCAGCTCTACAGGATGCTCTGAAGGATATATTAGAAAGAGAAAACAAAGAGCACAAGCACATGGACACCAAGAGAAACAAGCCACTACCACACAGGGCAAGCAATTAAACAGAGGAGAAACATAGGGAACCAGTACAGGAAAATAACATCAAAAAGATAAGCCATACATATCTGTTATGACTATCAGTGTAAATGGTCTCGATTCACCAATCAAAAGAAACAGACTGGCAGAATGGATCAAGAAGCAAGGTCCAGCAAAACATTGCATACAAGAAACACATTTAACTCAGAAAGAAATTTGTAGGTTGAAAGTCAAAGGGTGGAAAATAACACCCCATGCCTCAAGCCCAGAAAAAAGCAAGAGTAGCTATTTTATTTGCAGACAATGTGAACTTCAAGCCAAGACTGATCAAAAGAAACACAGCAAGTCACTATAGACCTGTCATGAGAAAACTCAAGGAAGAAGAGATAACAATCATAATTATATATGCAGCCAATACTGGTGTGCCCACCCACATAAAACAAATACTAACAGACATGAAAAATCAAATAAGCACTAACACAGTGGTAATGGAGACCTTAATTCCCCACTCTCACAAATAGATCAACTAGACACAAAATCAACAAAGAAATATCAGCACAAAACCAAACCCGTGAACAAATGGACCTAGTAGATGTCTACAGAGTGTTCCATCTTGCATTATCAGAGCACACATTCTTCTCAGGTGCACATGGGACGTTCTCCAAAATAGAACACATATTAGCCCATAAAACATGCTAAAGTGAGGCGAAGTGAAATCATCCCGTGTGTATTATCTGCATTCATGTTACCTCCTCTCACCTAAATCTAGCCCATCGCTGGAGGTGGCAGCACTACATAGAAATAAGAGAGCTCACTCTTCTCCAGACAGCTTTGGGGAAATGGCTTGACTTGCAAGAAATTGTGAAAGAAGGTGGCGTTAATGATTCCTATGAAACAGGAAAGAGAAGTCTACAGCAGTTTATCACATACCGGAAAATAAACAGGAGATTCAGAAGTCTTTCAACACATGGCAATGATAAATATTAGACGAGGTGTAAATACTAACACTTGCCCTCATTTGATCATTAAACATTGAATGTGTTATCAAATTACCATAATGTATTCTATAAATATGTACAAATATATGGTGTCCACTAAAAACTTTAAAACCGGCTTCAGACACTATACAAAGTATACACATACTAAAAAACCACACGGTACCCCACTAATTTGTACAATTATGATTTCATGTGTCATTTTAAAACTAATTTAATGGTGCTGGGGATTTAGCTCAGTGGCACGGCGCCTGCCTAGCAAGCATGAGGTTGTAAGTTCGATTCCTGGTACCAAAAACAAAACAAAAACAAAAACAAACAAACAAACAAAACCTAATTTAAAAAAATGTAAAGACCCAAAGTGAGACTACTGTGGTAATGGACATGCACTGTATCTTGGCTGCATCGATTTCAAGATCCTGGTTGTAATATTTTACTGTAATTATACAAGCGGTCCCCTTCTAGGACACTTGTAAAGGCACATGAGATTTCTTGCCACTATTTCTCACAGCTGAATCCATGATTATTTGAAAATAAAAAGTTTAATTTAGAAAAATGAGAACTGCAGGGAGAATGGGAATTCCTTAGCAGATAGATCGGACTGGGCTGTGGAGCCCTGCACAAACCTGGATGTTCTCCAGAGTGTAGATAACGGGTTCTGTGAAGTTGTCCCTTCTCTGCCCGGTCATGATGCCCCCAACCACTCGAGAATTCATCCTCAGTTTCCTCTCCATGGTGCCCCAGTGGGCCTGGGGGTCTGCGAAGAAGCGTTCATCTAAAACAGACTCCATGTTTGCAAAGGAGACAAAAGCCACTCCGGTGGTTCCTGCCCCAAAGACAAAGAAAAGTGGGAACCATCAGCTGGTGAACACTTATAGATGCTCTCGAATGTTCCAAGCATTAGAACTGGCTTACGCTGAGGACTGAAGTAGCCGTGAACTGCCAGGTTGGTGACCTCGTCAGAACCATAGAGGGCTTTTTTTTTTTTTTTTTTTTTTTTAAAGAAACCTTGAGTGGCTATTACCTTGAGAAATCTCATCTAAACATAAATTTGAATTTTCACTCTTAAGGGACAGTGCATTCAGTGGCAAGGTTAAGTTCTTCCATCTTCACGTTTATCCCCATCTCGTGGGCTCTGGCTTTCCTCTTAAATACTCCTGGTCTCCAGGGAGGCCTCCTGGAGCTGCTTCTGGTCCCCTCTGCCCGTCCTATCACCCAGGATCCACTTGCCACCCCTGGGCAACAGAGGGACGTCTCAGATGCCCACTGAGCCGTCACACACACTGAGTACTTTCGATCTCCACCTCTTATTGTCATTCCTTTCTTTCAATACATGAGGTCTCCTAACCTGGAACTTGGAGGTGTGTTCCTACTTCACCCTAACACAGATCCCTCCTTCTTCATGAGCCCCGGTGATCCCTCCCACTTCTCACTTCAACTGGACACCTCCCTCTGGACGTCCTGCTGCTCACCAATCTCCTTCCCCTCCCCAGTCTCACCCCTGCAATGCGTCATCTACACTGCGGCCAGAGCACCGCTTTGGAAGCCTAGCTCTACACAGAAGGTTCCAAGGCTTTCTGTGCCTCGGGAGAAAGTGTAAACTACCAGATTGGCATCAAACACCCTCTACCTCCTTCCCCATCTCCCCCAACATCTATGCTCCTCTCTCCCACTTTTTAGTTCCATGAATACGCCTAGCTTTTTTCTCTCTGTGAAGATCTGTTGCTTGCACTGTCTAAGATGATTCCTGCTTCTTTCTCTACATATTCTGCAGGATTTAGTGCAAGTATCTCTTTGCACATTTCACCCTATGCGTTTACACTGAACTATTCCTGACAGAATTAATTACAGATAAAGGACAGCAAACTGGGCTGTATTATACACAATGCCTACAGTATTTACCTGCTGGCCTTCTAGGGAAAAAGTATGCCAACTCCGGTATAGATGAGTGTTGTCTAATTGAAATATAGTGTGAGCCACATATATAATTTTAAATTTGGTGGTAGCCCCATTTTTAAATTGTAAAAAACAGAAAAAAGTTTTAATAATATATTAAGTCAATATCCACAAAATTGAGTCACATCAAAATGTAAAATCTGAATTTTTTAAATATGAAACTATACTTTAAAATATGTTTTTCTTCTTTTACGGCTGTATAGTGTCTCATTGCGTAAATAGCACGTTTTCTAAAATCCTGTCATTGGCAACAGGGTGTGTGGTCCTGGAGAACACAATGGTAAGGGAAATAAGCCAGGCACAGGAAGATGAACCGCATGACCTCACTTACTCACGGAACCTAAAAAAGAGTGTTGATCTCATAGAAGCAGAGAGTAGAATAGTAGTTACCAGAATCCATGGTGCTGGAGAGATACTGGTCAAAGAATACCACATTCCAGTCAGACAGGGAGAATATTTTTTTTGTTTTGTTTTGTTTTTTTGGTTTTTCTCCGGTACCGGGAACCGAACTCACGACCTTGCGCTTGCCAGGCAGGCGCTTTGCCGCTGAGCTAAATCCCCAGCCCAGGGAGAATATGTTTAAGAGAGCTACAGTACAGTGGGGACTAGAGTTACTAGGAGTATGCTTTCTTGTAGGAAAAAGCCAAGGAAGTGAACATATTCTCACCACAAACATGGTAAGGATGTGAGGTAATAGATGCAAGAGTTTTTTATAAACGCCGTTGCCAAGGGCCGTCCAGCGGAAAGGCAGGCTCGTGCAGACAATATTGTGCATCCCCAGCCACCATATTCTCTGGATCTGGAACCACGCCCACCTGGACCTTCCCCAGAGGCAACATGTCCATCACTGTTAAATGTTTAGAACTGTTTCAGGACACCGAGGCAGCCAACAGGCTGCAACTGAAGACATTCATGAAAGATGACTTCCAGGACTTGCAGAAAGTAGCAAGAAGAGTTCAGCAAGTGTTTTCAGAGCAAGGGGGAATATTCTGAGGAGGATCAATGGCAGTGCGGGGCCAGGGATGTAGCTCAGAGGCACAGCGCCTGCCAGGCAAACACAGGGCTCTGAGTCTGATTCCTGGTACCAAAAAAAGAAAAAAGCAATGTGTCTTTCATTGTAATAATTTTAATGTAAATATTCATCATATTTTTAGATCTTGTCCACAAACTGTCTAGATTCAGCCATCCCACAAAGCATATATGCTTCAGAATATCATGTTGTACACAATAAATACACAGAAGTGGCTGTCAGTTTTTAAATAAGGAAAAAGATGAGGTCTAAAATATTTTTTAATACATTTTGTTCTAAAGCAATTTAAGTATAAAAATTGTAAGAACCATATTCGGTCCCTTTTTGGTGCCACGTATCTGCAACGTAGTGTGCGTTTTACACCGAGCTCATTTCAGTCCAGCCCAGTCACAATGCAAGGGCTCAGTAGCTGAATGCAGCCAGTGGCTACCTTACTAGGGAGGGCGGGTCCCCGTACTTTGTTTAGGAGTCATTATGTTTCTGAAATTTGACTTCCTCAGCAGACAGGAAATTCTCCAAGGACGTTGCCCATTTCCGCCTCCCCCTCACTGGTTGTCAACCACCTCCGATGATCTTGATGCCCAGGAGGCGATCAGTAAATACTTGCAGGTGAAACACACCTGTCACCTAGACTCTCAGGAAGGGGCCTGCACCTACCTGTGCTTTCAGATTCTTCAATGGTGGAGCACCCAACAGTCATCGCATCCCCTTTGGCTTTCAAGAGAAAGGACACATTCTCCTTATTACACTCGTCGTCGTTGATGACTTTGCTCTCGATGTCTGAAAGAGAAAGGGAGCATTGGCGTGGGGTCACTCAAAAGGGGTCTCGGGTGCTTTTCTGTCATTGTTGACAGGATACCTGACACCCAAAGTTAAGGGAGGGAAGGTTTATTTAGCTCGCAGTTTGCAGAGGTTTTAGTCCAAAGCAGGCTGGCCCCAAATCAGGCTAGCACATGGCAAAGGGGCAACAGTTCATGGCAGCAGAAGACAGCAAGAGCAACAAGAGGAGAGAGAGAGACAGAGACAGACAGACAGACAGACAAAGAGACAGACAGAGAGACAGAGAGAGAGACAGAGAGAGAGAGACAGAGCGACAGAGAGACAGAGAGACACACAGAGAAAGAAGCCTCTTTCTGTCCCTTATATTGTATCTACCAGGATCAGAGCAGTGCTAATCCAATCAGCGGACTGATCCGGCAATCACCCACCCTTAATCTCAGCAACTCTAATACCAGTGTTGCACTGTGAATGAATCACACAATCTAGACTCAGCCACCTCCAAAAAATTCTAAGACTGCCTGAGGCTTTGGGGGACATCTAGACACAAAGCCTAAGAGAAGGGTCCTGGATGTGAAGTAGGCTTCTGTCCAAGATGGGTACACATTCACACTTGAGAGCAATGCAAGAAGGGAGAGGCCGGTTTGCCACAGGGAGGGCCTGAGCCCCTCGGAAGGGGACAGGAAAACGGCAGCAACAAAACAATGAGAAATCTGGTTGGAGCCTTATGGGCTTCCGTACCAGAAGGAGCGCCTCCAGGAAAGGTGGAATTGAAGTTGAGATCTCAATGGCTCTCAAGGCTTGTGTGGTGAAAGCTGGGTCTCTAGCCCACAGCACTCCTGGGAAGGTACAGAAAATGGAAAAGCTTGTGGGAGTTAGGTCCCTGGGGCAGATGTGTGAATTACTGACACACTTCTAGCGCAGTGCCTCGCCCTCACCCTTGCACAGTCAATGGGAAGTGTCATTAACATAACTACACTTGCTTTGTGGTGACTTTAGGATTTTGGAGCAGTTGAGGGAAGATTCAAAAGAAAAGCTGCAGAGAAGCTCATCGCCAAGGTCACCCCCCAAGTGCGGCACCCTAGTGGCTTTGCCCTGAAGAGTTGTTAGTTACCCAAGTGTTTCGTGTGAACAGCCTGGCTGGTGTTCTCTGAAGACGTCAGTAAAGCGGCTAACGTGGTGCTCTCCACACTCTCCAGGAGGACCGTGGCCAAGGTGGACTTCTCCTCCTGGGTGAATTTGGTCCACGTGGATGTTTGCTCAAGCACAGAGTCAAATGTCTCCACCTTCCTCTGCAAGAAAAGATACATTTGTCCTTCCCTCTCTCACGCCTCCTCCTGCTGCACCTTCCCCTCACTCTCTTCCACCTTGGGAAATTCCTCCTCTTCTCCTTCCTCTTTCTTCTCCTGTCCTCCCCTCCCCATCCTCCTCCGTCTCAGTAAGGAACGAGCACCTGTCCTCTCTCAGCCAGACAGACACTAAGAGGCACAGCCGGAGGAGAGTGAAAATGGCCAACATCTACCTCCATTTTCTCCCGCGAGGGGTCCCTTCGGGAACACAGACTCACGTGGCTTTTACAGAACGCAGCAAGTTAGCGCCTCTAACAGCGGAAACCGCACATAATTTTGGACCCAGAAATTTCCCTTCCAGGAATTAATCCTTCCCGAAATACTTAAACACTGTGCAAGGATCTTGTTCAGTGAGTGATATTTATTTCAAGATGATTTCTGGAAATCCTAACAAATTGGTTAAATCAAGGAAGATGAAATCCGATTATGGGGCAGTAAGCAGCTGTTAAAGAACAGCGCTGTGGTATTCCTGCATGTATTAACAAGCAAAAAGGGCCACAAATTATTGAGTAAAATAAAGAATAATATGTATATACTATCTCATGTTCCTTAATAATAATCAATTTTCAGATTGATATTGAAGGTATGTATGTTTCTGGTCCACAAAATAAGAATAATGCACACTTGTTATGAGCTAGATATTTCTTAAAAAAGAGAGAAAGAAAAAGAGAAAAAGAGACAGAGAGAGATCTTATATATATTAACTTGTTTAATACTGAGAATATGACTATGAAATTGTGCCAGTTATTTCCTGGTTTGGTGTGGGGCAACAAAAATGTTTGTCTAGTAGATGGAATAACCAGTTTTGAACTTTTCCAGGCCAACACTTGAGCCGCTGAATTCTTAATTACTGCCCTAAACTTTTCATAGCAAATACTCAAGAAATGAATTTGTGTGTGTGTGTGTGTGTGTGGGTGTGTGTAACACAAAGTAAAAAGAGAGAGACACACACATCTAACTACTAACATTGGTCATGTCTGAGAAATACAGTCAAGGTAAGAACAGCAAAAAACAGTAATAGCAGTGTTAAATTAATCCCCTTATTACTGTGAACTTCAATAAATTCACTATAATTTGTGATTCTAACCCAAGCCAAAAAAGTATGAAAAGAATTCAGAACCTAATATTGAGGAGAGAAATGAATCAATTCCCACCAGATCACAAAGGATATTATACAGGAACCTAACTATGAGGATAAGTTTCTACCTATCAAAATTAGATGGCAAAACTACGAAGGATTTCAATTAAAGTGGGATACTATGAAATCCCAGAGTTGATTGTCCACAGGAAGCTAGACCCTGAGCACCAACCCCACCCCTGAAAGGCCTGAGTCTTGGCTGCACCTCCTTCCACCAACATGGCAAGAGTATCACAGCCGGAAGCACCCTGGGAGAATGTGGCCCCTGATCCTATGGCTCATAAAATCTCACTGCAAACCCCCTGAAGTATGAGACCTAATTCTTTTAAGGTGGGAAACTTTTTTTCTATTCTCAGGAAAAACTACATAGATGCAAATTACAGATCCATAGTTGTAATACTTTTGTGTTAAATTTCGAAGGTTTTGAGTTCTTTATCCTGAAAATGTGGAAACTTCTGTTATTTATAAGGCATGGAACAATTTGATACATTAGGGAACCATAAAATCTCATTGGAAATTGCAATCTGGTTTGTGATTTTAATAGGATCAATTTTCAAGAATGTGGCTGCTTATAAACTGTATTGTTGGGAGGGTCTGAATTATTACATGCTTCAAATTTATATATATATATGATTAACTGAAATTTGGAGTCAGTTGAAGGCCCTAATGACCTGAACCGTCAGATTTGTAAATCTTCCTCATTAGGTACTTGAAGTATGGAAGGGAATAAGGTTGTTTGTAAACATAGAATAAAATGCTTCAGGGAGTTTGAACAGGGGCAATTATTTACAGAAATTTAGTCTGAAAACCATAGGGATGCACACTTAGTAGACATCTTAAATTAATTTCCAACTAACCAAATTACATATGAAAGTTTTATTATTTTCATAACAAAAATAACCAAAATCTATGCCTAATTATTCACTAAAATATTTAGAAATAAAATAACATGCATACATCCAACTTACAGGCTTAAGAAAAGCTAGGCTTTAATACCTATAACTGTAGTAACCTACCAGTTTCTAGGTATATGTCATGGAGATGTATATTCAACTAAATAAAAGAATTGTCCATGGATGTTTATAACAGTTTTACTGACAACTGCCAAAAGCCGGAAATGCCTTCCAAAGATGAATGGATTAAAAAAATGTGGTAACTTCATAAAAAGAGGCGTGACTCAGCCATGGAAAGGGATGAAACCCATATTCATGCTGTGACCCAGAGGGACCTCAAGGATTCTACACTCAGTGAAAGGAATTAAGACACAAAGGACAAATACCGTGCGATGCTTCTCACGTGAGGTCCCCAGTAGAATGGCAGGTGCCAGGGACTGGCCAGGAAGACGGGGACCAGGTACTGAACGAGTACAGGGTCTCCTTTGGTGGGGGTGGGGTATACATGTTCTGGACCTAGAAAGTCCTGATGGTGGTGCAGCACCGTGACTGTCCTAAACGTCGTACGGGTTAATGAAAAGGAATGGAACTACTGGTAAACAGAACATGCATGAATCTCTCTTTTATATTTTTTGTCTTTTTAAGACAGGGTCTGGCTATGCAGTTCAGGCTGGCCTTAAGCTCACTTTGTAGCCCAGGCTGGCCTCGAACTCGCAACAATCCTCCTGCCTCAGCCTCCCGAGTGCTGGGATTACAGGCGTGCGCCTCCACAGCTGGCCATGCATGAATGTCAAAGGCATGATGCTTAGAGGAAAAAAAAAAACAAAAACAAACTAACAAACAAAAAAAAAACCAGTCTCAAAAGGCCACACACTGTAGGAGCCCATTTATAGCTCTCTTGTGGAGACAGATGTGAGGGAGAGCAGAGGAGAGATTTATGGGCTTAGCGGAGAAGGAAACTTCTAAATATAAAAGGGAAAGGTCAAGGGAGGTTTTGGAGGAAACAAAAGTGGCCGCATCCTCATTAGCGGTAGTTCTGCAGCTCTACCAGGTTCAGGTTCTCACAGGACCTGCAGTCGACATCTGCAAAGGTAATTTGAGAGGACTGATTTTTAAAATCTCACAATGGTGATAAGTTCAAGGTGAAATCACAGTGCAGTGGTTATGAAGAGGACTTTCTGCACCCAAAACACCTGTGAGATGGGAACTCTAACACGTGTGAAAGGGAAAGAAACTGCTCAAAAGGAAAGAACAACTGGGATGTGGGAAAAGAAAAAAGAAAGAAAGAAGTGAAAATATGTGTATGGGTGTACACAAGATAGCTAAGATAACTGTACTACTAATTTCTATTGCTTTATGGAAAGGAACAGTTAATGTTCAAAGGTTTGATCAATCTTACATGTCTATGTTTATCTGAGTAACCAGTCTGAAGATATCAATATGTCATACAACAATCACTGTTAATTTCCTATCACCTTGTCTAAAATTCTGTATTGCTTGTATTGTTTTTGTACTGTTTTGTTTATGTCTGTGTGTTTGGTAATATATTTTCACTCTTTTATCTTTTTTTTGTTTTTTGTCTTTTTTGAGGCAGGGTCTCACTATGCAGCTCAGGCTGGCCTTGAGCTCGCTTTGTAGCCCAGGCTAGCCTCGAATGCACAAGGATCCTCCTGCCTCAGCCTCCCGAGTGCTGGGATTACAGGAGTGCACCACCACACCCAGCTTCACTCTTTTATCTTTAAAATAAGAAAAAATGAAAAAAGAAACTCTGACACAACAACAAATACCCGCTTGTTACCTCCAGGGACACGGGAGCGCTTTTGTTCTCGCAGGTATCATCCAGGACGCTGAAGGTGGCATTCACGAGGCCACAGAAGGAGACCTGTGTCCCCGAAGAAAGAGCACCTGTGAGCGCCGGTCAGTCCACCCCCAGGCTCTGCATCTACCGCTGGGGCCGGCCAGCCGAGCAGGCAGGGCAGCCTGAGCTCCCAGTCTCTAGAGTTCTCAAGGGAAAAAACTCAACAGACCAACTGTTTTTGCTAGAAGTGAGAACGGTGGGAAGTAGCAGAGAAGAACTCTGGAGCAGGAACATAGCACTGTGGAGGAGAGTCATTCCCAGTGGTCTATGGCACAGTGTATGAGCACCCAGAAGAGACAAAGGCTCTGAACAGAAATGTCAAGAGAGGGAAGTGCTTATTGCCCTGATTTGATCAGTAACTTCTGTATGCCTGTGCTGAAGTATGACATTTACCCCAATAACATGCACCATACTATGCATGAATAAAAATTAAGTTTACAAACTCATCAAGGTATTTGTTGCACATGAACGTATTAGAATTGTATGTTTGTGGGGTACAAAATGAGGCTCTGGTAGATGTATGCACTCTGTGAGGATTAAATCCAGCTAATTAACGTATCCTCCCCTCAAATGTTATTTTTTGTGGTGGAGCCATTTGAAATTCACTCTCAGCAATTTTGAAATGTCCAACAGACTATTACAAACTATGGCCACCACACTTGTTCAATGGATACTGACAAACTTATTCCCCTTATGTACCTGTGACTTTCTACCCTTTCATGCCCATTTCTCCATTAACACACACACACACACACACACACACACACACACACACACACACACTCCATTCCACTCTCTTCTATCAGTCTGATTGTTTTAATATATATATATTTTTTTGGTACCTGGAATCGAACTCAGGACCTTGCGCTTGCCAGACAGGCGCTTGTGCTGCTGAGCTACATCCCCCGCCCAAGTCTGATTGTTGCAGATTGCTCTGCTAAGTGGGAACACGCAGAGTTTGCTTTTCTGTGCCTGGCTTCCTTCTCTTAGAATAATGTCCTTCGGGTCTGGCCACGTAGCAACACATGTCAGATTCCCTCCTTTAAGGCTGACGCGTGTAACACTGAGTTAGAAACCCGTCGCCTTTGTCTTCCATGATTACAAGAAGCAAACAGCAAAAAGGGAAATGTGTGAAAAAGTGGTCTAAATAGAACATCATTTAGCCGTAGGAAGAATTTCTGGTGCAGGTGGCAGTGCGGGTGAACACTGAAAACAGGATGGTAATTGAAACCACTTGGACACTGTAGGAAAAATATTACACCACTCTCTTCTAGAAAACGTGTGGTGGGCAAACCCTTGGGGACAGAGAGCCAATTCGTGTTCACCAGGAGCGGTGGGAGAAGGGAATGCGGATTGCTGGGAAGGGGATTTCCTTTTGGGCTGAAAGAAATGTTCTAGAGCCAGCTAATGACAATTTCTGCACAACACTGTGAATACACTAAGTGCCACTTAACTGGATAGTCTAAAATTGTTAAAGTGGTATATTTTATGTTAGGTCTGTTTTGCCAAAATTTAATTTTGCCGAAATGAAACAGAAAATCAGTGGCCCATGGTGTGTGTGAATTTCAAAGCTAATTCACAAGTTCCTATGCAGAGTGGTGACATCACTTCCCGAGAGCGACACGAAATGTTGCTGATTTCGGTATTTCATTAGGTAATCAGGATGTCCAAATTCTTCTGTGCCTGGCTTAACTGTGTATCACCCCTCGTATATCACTCAGATCAACACCAAGACCTTTGCTGGTAGTGAGCCTCCAAAAGTCTCCCATTTGAGTGAAGCAATCCCAAAGTTTTATAAAAGTTAAGTACCTTCTTTTCACAGATTCCCTTGTAGCTATTCTCGAACATATGACTAATTTCTGGACAATATGTAGAACCAGAAGTGATAATGTGGCATAATCTTAAAGGGAAAGATCATGCCCTTTACTTCCCCTTCTCTTCTTCCTGCCAACTGTAAAGCAGATGTGATGGCAGGAGCGAGAGCAGCCACACTGAGCCACAAAGTGATAGTATTGTGTTGACAGAGACAGCATTACACAACTATCAAACAAGCCCTCCCTCGAGGACAGTCAGATTCTTATAGATCTGCTGTCTGTTTTAGGACACCATTATTTCCAGCTTTGTTCAGACTGCAAAAACACCAACTTGCTGAAGTGGCCACTTGGGAAACCTCAACAACTAAGACCTTTCCCCAGTACTTACGTATTTAGGGTCCACAGCTGACCCTTCTTGGCAGTGCTGGACCTGTTCATTGTGGGGAATCATGTCTTCCCTACATTTGAATGGAACCCCTGAGAGGGAAACAAAGGCAACCAAGTCACACTGCGATCACAGCAAGATCGGAACAAAAGGTAAATCTGACTCCCCAGCTCCGTGGTCACAAAGCACAGCAGCGAGGGTGGAGCTAACGGCAAAGCTACCCCAGCGTGGGGACTCTAGGAAGCAGCAAGTCAGAAAATGATGAACAGGATGAAAGCATTTCTCACAGGGCTCCCGGAGAAGAAAAATGATGGCAGATGCTGTTTAGAGGTGTTACCCCAAGGGGGGGATTTTTAAGGAAGAGAAAAAGACAAAATTCCAAGTGCTTCCCCGGGAGGAGGACACAGAGGATGGGTGGGGGCTGTTCAGACGACACACTGGCACGGATGATACTCTCGTCCTTATTTGAGAAGGGCCTCAGACACATCTGTTGTGTTCTATGTCACTGCAGCCACTTAGGTATATATTTTTAAGGTATAAAAATCCCATCATTTAAATTTTTAAGCCTTGCATAATTTTCTGTTGTTCTTGAAGATAAGAGACTCTAGACTGCTTTGCACAGCACCCAAGGCCCTGAATAATCTCTCTGCCCACCACATCAGACACATCTAACCCTGCTTCTGCCTCCTCTCACTCTGCCCCAGCCTCAGGACCATGGCACGTGCTGTACCCTCATCTGGATAATGCCTACTTCTCCTGGGAGCAGCTGCTGGAATGTCAGTGGCTCGGAGCCTATTAAATATCCCATTATTGCCCCAGAACACACTCTACTGTGTCCCTTGCTGCATTCCTCTTGATTATTATTACTGATCAGGAATGTGACCTCTGGTTCCTTCCCTTGACTGTAAAGTGCAGAAAAGCAGGTAGTACGCCCATCAAGATCAGGACTGAATACTCAGTGCTTGGTGCAGTGGACTGCTGGATTAACTAATTAACAGTTGATGCAAAAATAATTTATCAAAGGAGTGGATCAGTGAGTGAGTAAAACAAGAAGAGGAATTCTGTGTGTGGATGAGGTGAGAGAGAGAAACAGGCAGAGGTGTGACAGAACGAGGACTTCGCAAGCAAAGCAAGGCGGCAATGCCACGGCTGACACGCACGAGGAGAAGATTACTTCTGCAGCTGAAGTTGCCGTGCGTCTCAGAGCCTTCTGGACTGGGCCGGAAGCCTGGCGAGCAGCCGCAGCTGTAGGAGCCCGGAACGTTGGTGCAGACGGAATGTGGGCCACACGGCGATGGGTCTTGGGAGCACTCATCCACATCTGCAGAGAATTCAAGGCTATCAAGAAACTCAGAGAAACAAGGTGGAACTCCTTTCCCGGACTGCTGTCTGGCCAAACCTCCCCTCACCTTCGCATCCCACTTCTTGGCCTGTGAAATTCAGTTGTCCGTTGCTTGGCGCGAAGCCGGAGTGGCAGGTGCAGAAGTAGCTCCCAAGAGTGTTGGTGCAGGTGGAGTTGAGGGGGCACGAGTCAACACACTCATCGATGTCTGTGAGGCAGAGAATGTGTGTGAAGTAAGTGCTGGTTGTGCGCCCAACCAAGTCCTGCTTTCCCTTCCAAAGTACGGTCTCGCCTCTCATCAAGGGGGTGTGCAGGATGAGTGCATCACTGGGTCGTTTTGTTATTGTGTGAAAATCATCGACCACGAGTGTGCAGACTTTTGGCTTGCCTGGGACACACTGAGTGAAGAGGAATTGTCTTGGGCCACATACAAAATAGAGAACACGGTTAATGTAGGTAAGTAATAAAACATTCTTTTTATACTGTAATCTATTAAATTATTGTACAAGATGACACAGGAAGCCCAGGCTTAAAATTAAATAGAAAGAGATTTCCCCTGTGTTACACTGTAATCTCATGAGAGCCCACCTTTTTATATGTGGTCCACTGTCCTAGAAAATGGCGGCCCAGCCAGAAACTACATTTCCCAGCAGCCTCCAAGTGAGATACCGACTAGTCTTCATTCATGGACTGTGGGCAGGGATGATGCATGTCACATTTGTGCTAAGGAGCTTAAGAAGTGGGTGTGACTTCTGCCCTCTCTCTTCTCCCTGGCTGGGACTTAAAAATATCTCTGGCAGCTGGGTACAGTTGTGCATACCTATAAGCCCTCAAGAAGCTGAGCCAGGAGGATCTGGAGTTCAAGCCCAGTCTGGATAATTTAGCATAGCCTTGTCCCAAAAAATAAAAAGGGCTGGGGACGCAGCTCAATTAGGAAGCCCTGGGTTCAATACCCGGCGGTACGCACAAAAAAGTCTCTGAACATTGCTACTGTCCTCTGTATGAAAAATCACTCCGTAGACCACAGCTCCTCACGCTCTGACCCGACGCCCACGGCCTCACCCACTGCTCTCAGTAGCAGTTCAAATCCCAGCTGGTCCACACCATTGCTGTATAGCCCCAGAAAAATCACGGCACCTCTTGCTCCTGAACCCCAATTTTCTCACCCCAACATGAGGATCATAATCATTTCTCTTATGGTGTTCTAATGAGGAGGGAGTGATCGGGAGAAATGGCGAGAGCTGGTCATCCGTACCTTCACAGACGGAGCCGCGGGAGGTGAATCCCGCCTGGCAGCGGCAGCTGTAGTTTCCCAGGGAGTTGATGCAGTCAGCATGTTCAGGGCAGAGCCCGGCTAAGAGGCACTCATTGATGTCTGCAATGGAGACAGGAGTGAGTGAGCAGAGATCAGATATCCAAATTTAGAGAGTAATCTAAATTTAGCTCATCGTGGTGTTGCTGGACATCCTGAAAGTGTGTCCCGGCTTTCACACAATCCCACCATCTCCAGTAGAAGACAGACCGTTAGGCAGACGGCTGCACTTGTACCTTCCCCCCCGTGTGTTTGCACACTGACTTAGGACCACAAGGCTGCGGGCTTTGAGAACATTCACCGATATCTAGACAGAGAAACAGATGGAAGGACAAATTTTCATCTTCCTGCATGGCAGATTGTGTTTTCTGAACATGAGAGAAGCCACATCTCCCGTTCCACAGGCTTCATACAGGGAGGCTTTGGCATTCTTTCCTGCAAGTTCTGGAGTCCGTGTGCTCTCCCCTTGACGCTGAGCGTGACGGGTGGCAGTGGTGGTCGTGGTGCTAGGTCAGGAGGGAATCATCGCTTCCACCTCGCTTCCTTGAGACGTTCGGTCTTGGAAGGCGGCTGCCATATGGTGAAGGAGACCAGCAGTCCATGAACTTGTTCAGCGGCGAGGATCAGAGAGAGAAACGGGAGAGGAGAGGAAACAGGAAAGGATGAGGAAAGGGGAGAAAGGAAGGAAGGAAGAAAAAAGGAGGAAGGGAGGGAGGGAGGAAGTGAGGAAAGAAGGAAAGCAAGGAAGCAGAGGGGGAAGAAAGGAACCAACAAGGGAGGGAGGAGAGAGGGGGAGGAGCCCTGGAAGGAAAGAAGAGGAAATGAAGGAAAGAAGAGGGAAAGGAGAAGAGAGGAGGGGTGAGAGAAGAAAAGAAGGGTGGATGGAGGGAAGGAAGGAAGGAAGGAAAGAAGGAACGCAGGGAGGGGAAGTGGGAAGGAGAGCAGAGAGGAAGGGAGTCTGCTGCAGCTAATGTGAGAGGAGACGGTGGGGGAATCCCACACGCATGCGTGGGTCGATTCCCTGAGATGTAATGAACGGCTTATGAACGTGGACGGGAACGGAAGAGTGAGGACGGCTCTGAGATCTCAATGTAAATACCTTTTCCAGGAAAAGTTCTGAAATTTGGGTCTTAGGTCTTCCTAGGGCAAGTTTTTTCCTCCTCAGGAATATTTATTTATTCTTTTTGAGGCAGGGTCTCGCTATGTAGTTCAGTCAGGCCTTGAACTCATTATGTAGCCCAGGCTGGCCTTGAACTCACAGCGATCCTCCTGCCTCAGCCTCCTGAATGCTGGGATTACAGGCGTGTGTCACCACGCCCGGCTCCTCAGCAGTACTGACACATGAGGCTGTATCATTCTTGGTTGGGAAGCAGGACTGAGGATTTAGCAGCATCGCTAGCCTCTAGCTACAAGATGCCACCTGCAGCCCTATTGCTCTCCTACCTATCACTGTGATGACCGAAGATGTCTCCGCACGCTGGGCTCGGGTTGCACGCCTGTAACCCAACTCCTCGGGAAGTGGAGTCAGAAGAGTCACAAGTTCCAGCCCGTCTCGGGCAACTTAGTGAGATTTGCTCTCAAAATTAAAAAAAAAAAAAAAAAAAAAGGCTGGGGATATAGTTCATCGTGAAGGCTCTCGGTTTAATCCCCTTACAAAAATAATAATAATAATAATCATCATCATCTCTGGACATCGCCAGAGCACCCTCGGAAGGAAAATCACGGTGGGAACAGAGCTTCTCATTATTTCCTGACACACACTCCTCCAAAGAAGTTCAAACCCCAGCCGGACCAACTTCCTAGCTCTGCACCCGCGGAAAACTGACCCCAGCTCTCTACGCCCCAGTTTTCTCATCCCCAAAATGAATCGTGATTCCTTCCTCTTCTGGCCCTCTAATGAGGTGATCCTCATTTGGCTGGGCAGGGAAATGGTGAAAAGCTGGTCGCCGGCACCTTTACAAGCGGAGCCCCACGGCATGAACCCAGGCTGGCAGAGGCAGCTGTAGTTTCCCAGGGTGTTGACGCAGTCCGTGTACTCAGGGCAGATCCCGCTGGACAGGCACTCGTCGATGTCTGGAAGCGAGGAAGAGTGAGGAACAGGGATTAGATCTCTAAATTCGGCAGCTGGGACCAGGACTGCTTTGACCTTCTCTCGCCTAAAGTATCTCAAGTTCTTAAAACTGAGATTTGCTGCTTTCATTTGTTTCAAGAAGGGATTCAGCTGCTCATCGAAAGGATTTTATTATTTCTCCTTCGTATCTCTGTAAGACACCCCAGCAGGAGCGGGGCGAGGCAGCGTGTGTCAAGGCCCGGGGGCGCTTGGACAGGGGGCGGGCACAGCGCACCCGCGGGGAGGCAGCCGGAAGGAGGTGCCCAGGGTTCCAGCCACGGAAGCGTTGGGAACAAGAGGCGGAGTTGCTTCTCAGTCCCGGCGCAGCTCCCAGCCGAGGTCTGGGAAGCGCACCCTCTTGGGGAAAGTTCAAAGCCACCCAAGGAAAGACACCAGGTTCAACAGTGGCTGCCTGCTGGGTGGCCACCACTGGCTAGGTCTTAACTCTCCCCCCTCTGGGCGGAGTAAGGCCTCAGCCTCAGACCAGAGCACTAACAACAGCACACGCCCGGCTCGCAGGGCAGTGACGGGGCTGTGACCCTGAGTCCTAGGAGCAGAGAGGAACTCAGCGCTCCGCCCTCACTAGGGAGCCGGAACCAGGCTCTGAGGGCCCTTGAGGCGGGGAGAGTCGCAGGGTTGTAGCGGCTGTGGCCAGTTGGATGCAGGGTGCAGTGGGCACCATCCCCCCACCCCAAATGCTTCCTCTTGCCATGCCCCAAATGCCCTCCACAGGAGGGGTCTCTTCCACTGAGCGCTAAATGCCTCTGAACTGCCAGCTGTGAACAGCTCCACCTGGCACAAACATGAAGGCTGGCAAGGCACAGAGGCAGAGAAGAATGTAGTTAACTAAATTAGCTACTTGTTTAGTCATAAGTATGTCTCAAGCTCCCTGTACCCTCTGCAGCATTTCATCAAAATTCCCTCCTTCCTTGTTTTTACCTGCTTCCCCTCACACACCCTCTCAAATCCTACCTTCATCCGCTCCTTTTTTGTTACGCAAATACTATCAACACAGTGTATTCTTAAAACACCTTTTATCTTTCTCCCTTTTTAGTAACAGGTAGGGAATTGGCAGTGTGCTAGGAAGAGCGTAGGACTAAGAGTTAAGGCTTTTATCACTACAGTTCCTTACCTAGTTATAGCAGGTTCTCCCTCACCAAGGAGAGGTTTCCTAGGTTTAGCTAAATTCATTTTCCGGTTTCATCATACTCCCTGTACCTGTACCCTCCACCCTTCTCCTCCAAAACTCTTTCCCCTCCCTCTTTCTTTCTTTTTTTTTTTAATTTTTTTTTTTTTTTTGTTTTTTTCTCTGGTACCGGGAACCGAACTCACGACCTTGCACTTGCCAGGCAGGCGCTTTGCCGCTGAGCTAAATCCCTAGCCCCCCCTCTTTCTTTAATTTCTCTCTCCCACCCTCTTAGATTCCCCTTCTGTCCCCCACGGCTTGTGCATGACACAAATACTACCATCAAGGTATTTTTTTTAATTATTACTCTATTTGTTTTTTAGTTTTTGTCTTTTCACATACACAGTAAAGTGGTGCACAGAGTTAATTATTGCTTTAGTTTATATACTGTCTTTCATCGACATATCAGGTTTAATACTAGCCAAAAGTTGTGTATGGAAGTCAAACATGAGCTTTCTACCAGCATGAGACTTAGCTCCACCCTTCTCAGCTTCCATCCATCTCTGATTATGCGTCCCTCCCTCTTCTTATTTCTGGCCCCTACAAAGAGCCTCTCCTCCCCTTCATCCCAGGTATGAAAACAATACCAAGTTCCTATCTCTTTTCTCTCTTTCAGTTGCTGTTGTCTCCTTCCATCTTTCTGAACTGTTTGCTCCCTTCCTTCTTCCTTTTTCCTTCCTTATTATTCTACATCCTAGCCAACTTGTCATCGTGGCTGTTTCATTGTCTGCCTGAGAAGTGTGAGATTTTGAAAATGAGTTTTAAATTATATGTTGACATACAGTTGTTTCTGTCCATGCTGATATAACCAGTAGTTGTTCTGTCCTAGCAGTGCAGTGGTCTGGAATAAACCTAATACACTGAGGGGGTTGAATAGGTAAGTGAACACACACACACACACACACACACACACACACACACACACACCCAAAGCCAGTGTCACAGCACAGGGAGACACACTAAGATCTCCACAGCAGCGACAGAGTTTTTCTACCCTCGTTGATCCTTAACCTTCAGCACAAAAAACTAGAAACAGGGAAAAACAAGGAAACAAGATGTTTCCAAAAACTCTTAACTCTCCAAAAGCTGATCTCAGGCCGGGCATGGTGGCACATGGCTATAATCCCAGCACTCGGGAGGCTCACTGCAAGTTCAAAGCCAGCCTGGGCTACAAAGTGAGCTCAAGTCCAGCCTGAACTGCATAGAGAGACCTTGTCTCAAAAAAGACAAAAAAAAAAAAAAAAAAAAAAGAAAAGAAAAAAAGCTGATCTCATGGGCATCGAAGTGAAGCAGTTTCAGGCAAAGAACTCAAAAGCCAAATGGTTAAAATATTTGAGGAGGTCAAAGAAGAAGCAAATAAGTAAATGTATAAGGTGTTCAATGAGCTCCAAGAATGTAAATAGACACAGTAACTGAGCTTATGGAAGACAAACATAGCTGATTGAATTAAAGAAAAAACAGGATTTAATGATCACTTTAGTAAAGAACTAGAGATTATGAAAAAAAATCAAGTAGAAATGAAATGAAAAACACAACTGAGAGCCAGGCCAGTAGCTAATCAGGACTAAGCAGAGCTGAAGAAGGGAAAAATGTGGCACGTCACCTGCTCAGTGATGCATTAAAAGAAGAAAATACAAGAAGCTGGTTCAAGGGCTCTTAGATGGCCCTAAAAGAACCAAGCTAACAACTAGGAGTTAAGGAAGGGCTGGAAAGAGAACTAACATTATAAAACATGTGTACGATGAAATCATTCCAGAAAACTGACCAAATCTAGAGATCAAAATGCATACCCAGGCAAATGAAGCACTTAGAACTGTAACTAATGTGAGCAAAACACCAATTCTCCATCACATCATCATTAAAACCCCAGAAGTATATAACACAGAAAAATTAAAAACTGTCCAAGGAAAACATCAAGTAATTTATAACAGCGAGGTTATCAGAGGATGTAACTAAACAGATAACAGACTTGACTGGTAAAAGATCAGCAAGCTTAAAGACATCACCAATAAAAGCCTGGGTGAACTAACCAAGATAGTACAGGGTATGAATGACCAGTTCAGGAAAGAAGGACAGTTCATAAAAAGATTCCAAAAGAAAATCAGGATATAAAAAAATTCCACTGAAAATATAGGTAGCAGAAATGATCAATGCGAAGACAGAGTCAGAACTAGAACATAAGTTTGATTCAGGAGACTATATACACAGAGATACATTAAAAATATATTACATTAAATAAGTCAGGTACACAAGCTTAAATATCACATGGTTTCTCTTATATGAATATATATAAAAGAATATATGTGAACATATATGTAGAGAAAAAGAGACAGAGAACAAAATAGGAGATAGACAAATAGATTAGAAGTACGGAGATCTTTTTCAAATGGGTGGGGGAAAAGAGATGGGGAAGGAGGAGAAGAAAAAGGGATGCAAAAAAAAATAATTGAGAAAAAAATGAAAATAAGGCCTTTACAAGGGGACCAAGAGTTGGAAGGAATAGAAAAGGAGAGGAGGACTGGAAAACAAAGTAATTAAGATGTTATGTACATGTACCAAGTCCCCACAGTAAATGTATCATTACGTACTGCAAACACGTACTAATAAAAAAAGTGGAAAAACAATGACAGATCATGGAAACTGGATCCAATAGAACAAACCTAAGAAGAAAAAGAGTTAAAGAAAAAATTAGAAAATAGCACCAAAATTTATTTGCAAACATCATAGAAGAAAAATTTCCAAGTATGGGGGAAGAATTTGACATACAAGTAAACATGACATATAAAACAGTGAACATCCATGATCAAAAAAAAACCCAGAACTTCAAGACACATCATAGGTAAAACCCCAGAGGTCCAATGTAAGGACAGAATTTCAAAAGCAGTTAGAGAAAAGCAGCATATAACTTATAAAGATAAACCTGCAGAATTATTGTTTGAAACTGATGGAAAAATAAAGATTCTCCATGACAAAGAGCGTCTTAAGAAATTGATGACTTCCAAATCAACACTGCAAAAAAAAATTCAAGGATATCCTAGGCAGAGACAATGAGGTTAGCACCAAGAGCCTAAAATTCCATTTTCCATTTCCATTTCCATCAAGATTCCAGTTTTGGCAATGGAAAAGTGGTGCAATGACAGGAATCAGTCAATACTGTGCAGAAGTAACTATCAGTGTAAATGGCCTCAACTCCCTAATCAAAAGATGCTGCATGATGAATTGGATTGTGTTAAACGTGAAGGATAACTGTGTGTTATGTATGAGACACACCTAACCCATAAAAAAGTGTAGGGAGCTGCTGAAGCTGGAAATTGATCACTCATACAGCGGGGAGGCAAGGCCAGGCCAAAGGGAGGTGCTCAGGTAAGCCAGGAAAAGTTGCTAGGCAGAAGGGTTGACATTGATATCAACCTCCTCAGACTATAAATAAACTCGCTGGGTGGTTGGGCAGTTCCTTTCCTCCCATCAGGAAAGAGGGCTCCACCTGATCTCAGATCTCCGTCTCTTACCTTTATTTCTCCATCCTCTCACTGTCCTTCCCTCCAGGAACTTCAAGAGTCACACGAGCCACAGCAAAAAAGCTCAGAGACTAAAACTATAACAATGGAAAACAATATTCCATGCAACAGGAGCCGCAAAGCAAGTAGGAGTAGCTATCCCATTTTCAGACAAAGTGAACTTCAAGGCAAAACTGATCAGAAAAATGCCACTACATACTGGTAAAGGGAACAACTTAACAGGAAGAGGTAGCAATTGTGAATATATATGCACCAAATA